GGTGGTGGTGGTGGGTGGGGGGGCCCCACGGGTTCTTAGGCTGAACAGCCCACAGAATTCAGAGTTCCTCACGCATGCATGGGCCCTGATTCAGAAGAGGGTACCTTTGGGTTCTGCTGATATCAAAGGAGACTTTTAGAATAACAATGGGTCTGGATGATTCCCTAAGGGGAGGCTGTTCTTTCAAAATGTGTTAAGTCCACATTTACCTGTTCAGAAACACTCTCTCCCATATGCATTTGAGGGAGGCTTTTGTGTTCCATTCTCTGGCTCAAGGGGGGGCCTACGGAGAAGGAGGGCAGGCCTGCTTATTCCTGCTTCCCAGGCGGAGGATGGAGTCCCAGGGGGGCAAATGACCTGTCCACATTACTCACTCAGGGAGGAACTAAAATAAATTGGTTTTCGTGAGTTAGCCTGACTAACTCCCCCAAATCGGTGAACTTATTACATTGTTTTTGTTGTTACTGTTTAGCTGGGCTGGTCACATGGGGCTTCTGCTGCAGTGACTACTGCTTGAAGTAAGAATCTTTGGAAGATCTTTGGGGTCCAGGAAATAGGACGACACTGCAAGCCCTTTACTGGGGCTGGACTTGCAATGACAACTGCTACTGGCTCCTCCCTCAACCATCGGCTTTTGGTGGAGAAGATGCTGCCCTGCCCCTCACAATCTCAGACATCCCCTCGCCCTGGCTGTGCTGAGGCCGAGCGGCCCTTCCCCATCCTTGTCCTTGCCTCCAGCAGGGTGATGGTGATCATGAACCAGGGTGGGGGGCAGCAGGTGTAGCTGTCGTAGTACCACTTGCGGTCAATCTCCCGGGGCAGGGTCTCGTAGGCCACGTGCCGGATGAGGCGCTGGGAGAGGTTCAGCCCTTTCTCCTCCAGCAGGGCCTTGCTGCAGAGCCGGCGGTTCCCCTGCAGGATGGCCTGGCGGAAGCTGTTGGACCGCTTGTTGCTCATCTGCACAGGAAACAGGGTGGGGGGCAGGGTCAGAACCAGGGTCTCGGGAGCTCCGACCCATTTTCCAGCCAGCACAACCCTTGGACTTAACCAGGCCCGATCCCACCTTTCTTACTGTTCTACAATAGCTCACCAGAAGCACTATTCACTGAGCTCTTACAGGTCAGGGGCTGTTCTAAGCACTTCACCATTTGTTGGTTCATCTGCTGCAGTCAGTCTACCTGTTACATAAGGCCTATGAATATCCCCATTTTGCTCGATGTGGAAACCAAAGCACAGAGAGTTTTTAGGACCCATCAAGTTCACACCCTGTAAGGCTCCTGAGCCTGTATTCATATAGTCACAGTACCTTCCTTCCATCACCCCATCTCTCATCCATCCATCACAATTTCCTGAGCAACTACTACGTGTCAGGCACATTGCCAGGCACAGGGGATACAGTGGTGCTCGAGACAGATAAGTAACCAGCAATCACAGTTCAGAGTCAGGGCTGCTGCAGGAGCACACGGGAGTCCGACCTGGTCTCGAGGTGGTCAGGGAGTGCTTCCTGGAGGAGGAGGTATCTGAGTGAGAGCTGGAGGGTGAGAAGGACTTAGGTCCTCATAGACATTAGTTTGGAAAGGGTTGGGCAGCCCTTGCCGACTCTCCCAGAACCCAAAGCTGTGCCTGTGGAAGGTCACCACTCCCGAGTCCCTTCAGGTGACTGGCCATGGAACCTGCCTAAGGGCTGACCCTGCCTTGGCAGCCTGAGGCTGCCCGACACAGTAGAGCCCTGGCTGCTCACCCGGCAGTCAGCCTGGCTCCCAGAGATCAGAGCAGCCTGCTGACGTCCAGCCCCAAGGCCTCTGTTGCCTCCCATCTGCCTTCCACAACCACATTCTAGACCTTGATTGTGGGGAGATGTCCTAGAGACTGAGTCCTCCCAACCCCAGAGCCCACAGCACCGCCTGGGTGGCTGTTCCACAGCAGCTGGGGTGGGGATTGGCAGCGTATTCCTGGGACTGTGGGCCCAGCGGTGGACAAGAGGCTGAACCCGGAGGCAGGAGTCCAGAGAGGGCTGGCCAGGTGCACCAGGCAGACCAAGGCACAGGGGTTTGAAGCCCTGTCGGGGGAAGGGAGCTGAGAGGATCTGCATTCAGACCAAACGGTGGAATGAGCCTCCCCCAGCAGCTTTTCCGCTCCTGGATTCTGCTGCCTCTACCTTTAAAGTCTGGCTTAAAGCCCCAGCAGGCCTTCCAGAGGAAGCCCTTCCAAAGATTCCCTATTCTCCTCCCCTCCATACCTACAAAGCTCGGGTCTGGTCCTTCCTACTGGCTCAGGAGTTCTGTAAATGCAGGCAGGGCTTGGGGCTCCAGGTACACGGTAAGCCCAAGACAGGATCCCAGTGTGCAGTATTTTGTAGCCACACTTACCATCCTCTCTTTCAGTCTCCGAGTGGGAACATGCACACGGGCGTGCACTGCATGCACACTCACAAACATGCCCACAGTCACACCCTGACGACCCGTGCGGGGTCGGGCTCAGCATGAGCACAGAGCACGGTGAGCACATACTCCCCACTCACCGGCTCCCCTGGTGTGCCTAGCACTGTGCTGGGCGCAGGAGGAACCATGGTCTTGGGCCTCACGGAACTTATAAGGAGAGACAGATTATAAACAGCAGCAAAAGAGGGTGTCATCTTGGTTATCTGGTGCCTAGGATTATCCCCATGTCATAAAGATGGGGACCAGAGCTTGGAGAGTAATTTCTCAAAGATCCATCGTTAGGAAATCAGAATCAGGATTCACATCCAGATCTGCCTGCCTCTGGAATCCAGGGAATTGGCACTTTCCTGCCAAGTAGATAGGGATCCGCTCCCTCCAGGTGGCTGCACCCCTTCCAGGCCTGGGGGGGCAAAGCCCATGCCAGATTCCAGGCCCCACTTACCCCTCTGCCAGGCATCCTGGACAGAACACAACCTGCACGTCCTCACGTGACCACCCTGGCCACTCAGCTGGGACGTAATGTGGTCTGTGCTATGAGAGAAGCCTGGCGCCCTGGCCGGGTAGGTCACTTGGTTGGAGCATCGTCCCCATAAGCCAAGGTTGCGGGTTCAATCCCCGGTGAGGGCACATACGAGAATCAACCAATGAATGCATAAATAAGTGGAACAGCAGGTCGACGTTTCTCTCTTCAATCAATCAATCAATCAATCAATCAAGAGAGACCTGGCAAAGCACTGTGGGGGTTGGGATGAGGAAGGGCTCAGGAAGGAGGCAGAGTTTTCCTGCTGGAAGAATACTACAGACAACAAAGTCTTTCATATATTTCACCTCGTTGAATCCTTGCAATGACCCCGGAGGAGGTAAAATCCAGGCTCAGAAGACCTTTCCCAGTGAGTGGCACAGGCAGAGCCAGGAGAGGGACCCAGGTCTGCCTGACTCCAGGCCCTGAGCTCTCTGCCCTCCCCAGAGCTTCCCGGCTGGTGACCTCCTCTCAGTCCTGGTCCCCAGGGCAGCCCAGCTCACACAAACCCAGGCTCCAGCTGGCCGCTCCAGCTCTGAACTGACAGAAATCCCAACAGTGACAAGTCCCCTGTGGCTGTGAGTTCACAGAGGACCCCACAGACCCTTTGCTGGAGAGAAGCACCTCCCGGGCCCAGCCGGGCCCCCGTGCTGCCCTGGACTGAGCAGGGCATGCAGCAGACGTGCTTGCGCTGGGCTGTGGATGAGCCTGTGCAGGCCCAAGCCCGTGGCCTGGTCTTTGGTGGCACAGCTGGGCTCTGAGTCCCAGGGCTCACCTCCACCGCCTGCCCCATGAATCGCGGCTGCCCCTCCTCCTGTAGCTCAGCTCTGACCCCTGCCCTCTACAAGGCCTGCTCCCTGGGTCCATTCTGAACAGCAGTGGAACCCAAAAGCCCTGCTGCTGCTCCCTGTAATCGCTGGGCAAAGGCAGGCCCTCAGTCGAGAGGCAATTAAAGCAGGTCCAAAGCTGGGTGTCCACATCACAGAGCCCACCTGGCACAGGACAGGTCTGAGTGGGACTGGCTCCCCAAGCACAGGCACCAGCGGGTGACAGAAGAGAGGACACTGTCTCACCCCTCCATGAGTGACAGAAGAGAGGTGACGTCCCCACCCATTTCAATGGGGAAACTGAGGCCAGACTCCAGCCTTGGATTCATCCTGTTAGCTCATGTAGAGTCCACTGACATTCCAACCATCCCGTGGCGCGTAACGTGCTTCCTTCTGAACCCCACTGGACCCCATTCCAATCTCACCCCAGTAGTAACACAGCAGTAACCATCACAGCAGGGAGGAGGGAGTCCCTACTCTCAGTCAGAGTGGGCAGGATTCACGGGCTCCTGTCCCCAGTGCCCCCCCACAAGCCAGGGCGTCTGCCAGCAGGTCTGACGAGCTCCTGTGCCCCACTGCTCCTGGAGGGGTCTGGCCTGAGCCTCCCGACACCTGCTCCCCAGCTCCTCTCCTGCCACAACGACCTCCTGCCGCCCACTCCCAGCACTTGGTTTCGGTGGCAGAGAGCCCACTCCCAGCTCCAGAGGTGGGCACTGATTGGTTCGAGTTAGTCAACACATCCCACTGACCCAATCTGGGCCCATGGGAGGGAGGAAACAAACCCCTTGTGTGGGAGCTACCACCAGGAGCCCCTCTCCTGTATGGTGAGGCCTGAGGGTGTGGGCGCTGGAACAGCGCGGCAGACACTTGCTGCCTCAATGGGAGGGGCTGGAATGGCACAGCGGCTTCTCAGAGGATGAGAAGGCAGAGCTGAGAGGCAAAGAGAAACCAGGTCCTCGGTGATACCCGGCTGAAGCCTGGAGTTTGTCAGTGCTCTGGGCCAAGAGATCCCTTTAATTGTCCAAAAGGGTCGGCTAAACCACAACCCCTGGACAGGCCCCTCCCAACAGCAAGGGCCCCAGAACGCTCACCAGGTTGACAAAGTCCTGGTAGCAGATCTGCCCATCGGTGTGGCTGTCGGCCAGAGCCAGGAGCACCTCCCTTTTGTGCGGGTCCAGCTTGGAGCTGTGGCTCTCCAGGAGGCTGCGGAACTTGCCTGAGCTGATGTAGCCGGTGTTCCCAGGGTCACACTACAGGAGAAGCACAGACAAGTCGGGGGGAGGGATGTGGGGAGGCATGTCAGTGGGCTCTGGCCCTCACTCTGCCACAGGTGCCCCATCTCCATCACCACTCCCCGGCTCCTGTCCCCAGACCTCTGCCAACAGAGGCCGGGCGGGGTCTGGGATGTTGCCAAGGCCCCCAAGGGAAACATCCAAACAAAGCTTGGACAGTCATGTAAAATCCTAGAAGGCCCTGGAGACCTTCGAGATCCACTAATCCAAGCGTCTGGTGTGTGGGCAAGGAATCTGAGGTTCAGAGAGGTTAAACTCCCTTCTCTCCGCCTTTACTTCTGACTCTACACGAGGACA